TACACATACACATACACACAGAGAGCTCTCATATGAAGCAGGTTGCACTCCCCAAGAAAGAAAGGCTGGGCTAGATGGATACCAGTAGTAGACATGGAGGGCATGCAGTAGAGGAGGTATAGGTGATGAGGAGGAGACAGGAGGACATGCAAGTACAGTGCCAAAACACAGAGCTTGCTAGCTTGCTTGCACCAAAGTCACAGTGCCAAAAGCCTCCTCCCTCCCTCCCCTCCTATGCATGCTTGGTGCCGTCGTTTCAACGCAAACATACATTGTCCAACGGAGGCGGAGGCTCCTCTACAGTCTACACTACTCAACACTAGAGCATACAGTAGAGCTGTGGAGTGCCTGCGTATGTGTATGTGCATGGACCATGACCAGCACAGTAGCTACCACTCTCTATATATATATCTTCTCCTGCCAAGCCCCTTTGAACCTGCCCCCCTCTCTCTCTCTGGTAGCAGCTCGTAGATCATTGTGCTTCTCCACTAGCTCGGTAGCTCTACTCCGGAGCACCAGTCTACCACTCACCTCTCTTCACCGGCCGGCCAGGGCAACAGCCAGAGGAGGTATGCATGCATGGCTCTTGTTGCCCAAACATTTGCGATGATGATATGTTTTCTTGATGATAAGCTAATTAACGACGGGTAATGGTGGTGGTGGTGGTGGTAGGTAGGTAGGGAGACATGGTGACCAAGCGCCTCCAGGAAAGCGGCTCGCCGAAGCAAGCTCGTCCTGCTCCTGTCGCCACCGACAGCGCCAACGGCCCGCTGATGCTGCTCCGTTTGCGGGAGCAGTGCTGCTGCGGCCACCCGGCTGCCTCGCCCGTCGGCCCGCTCGCGCTCACGCTCGGCGCCCCGGCGGCAACCGACGACGCCTGCCGCCGGTGCTGCTGCGCGAGCGACGCGGACGCGGACGCGCCGGCTCTGGCGCCTGGGGTTATGCCGTCCGTGGACTCGGTGCTCCGTGGCTCCCGGTACCTGAGGCCGGTCCAGGAGCTGCTGCGCGACGCGGTCTCCGCCGTCGTCGGCGGAGACGACGACGAGAGCGCGGGAGGAGGGAGTGAAGACGAGGCGGGCCAAGAGGCGGCTCTCCGTGAGCTGCGTCTGCGGGCGGCAGCGACGAGCCGCCGCGGGATCCTGGCCAAGAACGACGGCGGCGCCGGGGCGGTGCAAGCCAAGCTCCTCGGCCTTCTCAGCGAGGTCCGTCCGCGCCATTCCATTGCAAACGAAACCTCTCTTCTTCCCTCGGTTAAACCCATGGCGGCTAATCGATCGATTTCTCGCAGCTGGAGGGCCGGCAGGAGCACTACTTCCAGGAGCTGAGCCGCGTGGCGTCGTCCTTCGAGCCGGCGCTGGGGCCCGCCGCGACGGCCGGGTACACGTCCCTCATGTCGCGGGCCATGACGCGCCACTTCGGCAACCTGCGCCGCGCCATCCTCCGCAAGCTCGCCGCGGTCACAAGGCCGGCGCCGGCGCCGAGGGCGAGGCTGTGGGCGAACGATGACAGCGAGGAGGACGAGGAGGACGACGACGAGCAAGACTACGACCCCGTGCAGACGGAGGACATGGTGAGCAGGCTGGTCCGGCGGACGAAGCAGGCCGCGGCGGCGCGGGCGGCGGAGCAGGTGTGCAAGCCGCTGAGGGGCCTGCCGGAGGGGTCGGTGGCCGTGCTCCGGGCCTGGCTCTTCAACCATTTCCTAGATCCGTGAGTGCCCTCGCCTCGCTACCTGCTTAACACTGACAAAGCTCTGTCTGGCATCCCAACATCGACATACCCCCTCCGTCTTAAAATACAGGGTGTATCAGTTTTTTTTTTTTGCGTGAAAACTTCCAATCTATTCATCAACTGTCAAGGTAGTACAAAAAACACTAGAAGTAAAAATTACATCCAGGTCTACAGGGTGTATCAGTTATTTCAAAGTCAAATGTTTCTATGTTAATTTGGACCGAACATATAGGAAAATAGACCAACATCTACGATGCTAAATAAATAAAATATGAAGATATAATTCGTGGCGAATCTAATTATAGTGAGTTGCGATTGTAGACATTGCTGTTTTTCTCTATAAATAAAGTTGACCAAAGGTAGAGAAGTTTTGACATTTGAAAACCCTAAAACAAGCACTAGAAGCCTGGCATTGTAGACTGAAATTTTGCTCTACATACTTGGTCAAATTTAAATACAGAGAAGCTTGACTTTAGTAACAAATAAAATGCACCTTACATTTCAGAACAGAGAGGCCGAGTACCGTCATTTTAAACTCAATACATGAAAGTATCATTCGAAACATTCAAAGCTAATACTACTCCCTTATCGCGTATTAGCTTCGACTCAAGTCAAACTTTGTCAAGCTTGCCTAGGATTATAAAAAATAAACAAAATGAACATTTTCAAAAATAAATCTATATGATTCCTTGTAAAGTTTGGCTTCAGACAAAACTAATACTCTGTAAACTAATATAAGAGCATTTATATTAGTTTACAAAGGAATTACTACGCTAGTTTACAGAGGAAGTACTACACTAGTTTGACACTCGACTTTGTTTTTGTTGCAACTTGAAGCAGGTACCCGAGCGACAACGAGAAGCTGAGGCTGGCCGTGAGCACGGGGTTGAGCAGGAGACAGATATCCAACTGGTTCATCAACGCGCGGGTGCGGCTGTGGAAGCCGATGGTCGAGGAGATGTACGCCGACGAGTTCTCCGCCGTCTCCTCCAGGGACGATGACGGCGGGGCGGCGTCTTCTCAATAAGCACATTTCCTTCCTTCCTTGGGGGCGCAAGATTCAGTTTCATGTGTTTCCTTTTAGGAGGATGTGATCTTTCTTGTTGCTTCAGTTCCATGTGTTTTGGGTCTACTGGTGATTCATGGGACTGCTCATCATGTTGCAGTTAGTATAATCATTAGGTAGTGAAGCTTGAGTGAGTATCAGGCGATCATTTGGTCTATGATGGTTCAATTCGAGGACCGGTGTATCACCACGGCACGTACCCTATTTGATGAACCCTTTTGCTCCCAAAAGATTCTACAGCATGTGTGAGGTGCTAATAACTCTTGACCAGTGACCCACATTACGAATTCAATTCACCTTAACACTGTTTTTTTATCAGATACTACTAATTATTCTGGGCCACCTTTTGCTGGAGAATTACATTGATGCAGCAGCTGTGTAATGAGACATATAGAGTGACTGATTCCAAATTTCTGGGAGGGAGCATTTGTCACTAGGGATCATCAGAGGAAAATCGACCCGTGTTGAAAACTGGAAGGGGCCGCATAAAGGACATCTTATTCTACATGAGGACACTTTCAAAGCTCCCAAGATTCCGCAAAGCACAGCGAGCAGCTACCACCCTCGGAGAAGCTCGATGGATCAGTTCGCCCAACAACAGAAACTTCTACCGACGAACGGGTCACAACAGACAGCACACAAACTAAGGAACAAGGCCCATTGAGATGACAAACATGGTGGTCCTCTTTCGCCGCACGCAGGAAAGGAAATGTCCACTTCCACTACACCTAGGGTTTACTACTCGACCGGCATTCTGCATCAGCGCCTCCATTGACAGGCAAGCCAGAGTAATCGACTCATAGTGCTACTCACCAAGTGCCTTCTTACTACCACCACTACGCTACGGTACCCAAAAGAAGGGACCTAGGTACGTTTCCTAGCACTGGGATAAATATTTACACGGAACGGGGCAGGGCGATCCACGGTTTTCCTCTAGTCGGATCGCTTGAGGCCCTTCCTAGCCAAGTGATCCTTCTTCATTTCCTGAACCGCCTCCCTGCAAACAGGAGCCAAGTTAAGCTAGTTCCCTGAAGTGCGCATCAACAAACATGAAAAAGAATTGTCGGTTCCGTCTTTCGCACCGCTCTAGTTTGGTGGTGATCCCGTACTACATAGAGAAATTATATAAGAAACCAAAGTCTACGAATACTAGTGAACTTATCAAAATCCAACAAGTCCCCGTCATTGGAGAGATTCTTGGAAAGAGAAGCACGAGTTAGGATGGCTTACCGCAGCGCTTTCTCCATCTCAGCATTTCCAGGGTCCAGCTGCAGGCCAGCCATGAATGCATCACAAGCTTCTTTATAGTCCTACCAATGGGAAGTTCAGCAGATTATATATAGTATGCATACAGGGAGATGCCATGTAACCAAGTGAAAGCAGAGTTAATCTGTGACTTATCTGACCTCGAGCAACATGAGAGCGGCTCCTTTCCTGTAGTAACCTTTGATCCATTCAGGGCGCAGTTTGATGCAAGTGTTGGCATCATGCAGAGCCTTCTCTGCTTCAGCAGTCTGCAGATGACACAAGCTCCTATTTGAATACAGTGTCGCATCGGTAGGATCTAGCTCAATTGCCTACATCGAAACAGAGAATTGAAAATGGTGAGGGACGTGTCATAAGCAAACAAGTTTTTTAGCGAGAGAACAGAACAGCGTATATCTGTTATAACTTGCGCATGGCTGCTTATGGCTGCTTATGTATGCCTGACAAGAGCCACATTTAAAAAGGCAACATCTGTTCCATGATTCCATGCCTGCGACTATCAGCACTAACATTAGGGCTGTTCACACTTTATGATGGTTCAGAACTGAAACTGAGACCCAATGTTCCTCAGATAATCATTATGGGCCTCTTTCAAGAGAGCTGCTGAAGCTGGTTTGAACCATTTCCAGCAGTCGTGGCTGTGTCATGGCTGTTGAAGGTTTCCAAACAACATGACATGTGTCCAGACTTGGCTGGAGAGTGGACATCCTATAATACTATCGTCGATTCAACAATATTTGTTCTTCAGAGTTGCCTGGCTTATATCTAGACATATTATACCTGGAGACGGTGTCAAATAAGTACACTCTTGATTCAATCAACGAACAAATATTTTGAAACAGAAACCCAAATGTTTGTATGATAAGAGGATAAGGTGTATTGTAGAAGTTTCATGCATATGCTAGTATGTATCTTGCCAAGACCTTAGAGTAGCATAACCGTTACATCATTCTTCAGATCACCACTAACCTCAGTGTAGAATAATGACGCACCATGATAGTCCCTTCTCTTAATAGCTTTCTCACAAAATGATTTCAACTGAACTTTTGTATTTTTATCATGCTTAACCTAAATCATAGAGACAAATTAGGACAAGCAAAATATACATGACAAATGTACAATGTTCGCCGAAGATTAATAAAGTTTCTTTTTGTGCCAAAAAAGACATAGCTTGATGATTAAACTTCATATGACAACAGAAGACTCATCATAAACAACTACTAGGTTGTATTGCTTGTTTAACCAAGTCGTACTAGTACAGTTGTAGACAGACAATCAGAGGGAGTTTGGGACGTGGATTTTCCACAAGGCAACGAAACACACGTTTTTCCATCAAAATTAAAGTCTACATATAATACTCAGTCATGTAATCTGTAATTTTTTTGGAAAAAAAATTCAAATAACGAAAATATTTAGCAAGCGCAAAAATATTTAGCAAAGATTTTCCAAGGGATCATCTTTCCATTGTACTCTGTATTTATAATATGGGGGCAATAATGATTTTGCCACTATTTTTTTTATAACGTTTTTGCTTGCATTGCAAATTTGCCACTGGGTCATGTCACTGAACTGTAGGCCAAGGAGAGAATGGCAAAACAGAATGAAGAATCTGCAGTGACAAAACCTCGAAAAATGTCATAACATATCCTTTTAAGTAGCCCATCTCTACTAGTCCAATATAAAGAAAAGATTCAGGTGATTAGAGGTGCAAACGTTTATGCCGCAACGGTTGAAGGACAAAGAAATAACTCAATATAGGATGATTATTAAAATTCAATTCATACCGTGGACTTCGAAGGCCTTTTGGCATGGGCAATAATTCCTTCAACGGTCCAGTTTGGTACAGTTCGAATAGGAGAAGTTAAAGGAAATAGTAACTCCACAAGCTGCCGTTTTCCAATGGTTGCAGCAAGTTCTATTGGCATGGCACCACACTGTCAAGTACGAAATAACAAACAGGAACCACATGGTTCAGTAGCAGAAGTTAGTATATAGCTACCAGGGATTGAAAAACGAACATAAACCTAGTAAAAAATCTCAATATTAATTAGATCATAATAAATAATAAGAAAATATATAGAAAAATGAAATTGGGCACATAAATAGATGAAGTTATGCTAGACATTACATAACCCACCCACTTCAAAATGTCATCTGAGTTGCTGTTTCTCAAAGTGTCAAATCTTGGTAATAGCATCAGACTTAATATACCAAGCATGCATCAAGACTAATTGTTGTTTCAGTCGACATGGTTTCATACATATATTATTAAGCTCGTATCTTGGTAATAGCATCAGACTTAATAATAAACTTTATTGCCCCATTCATTTACTGTCAGTAAGAGGGATGGATGCAATTTCAACCCCTAATAATAAACTAAAATGACAAAGGAACGAAGGATCCCTCAAGTTCAAAGTTCAGGAACAAAGGATCCATCAAGTTCAAAGTTATCTGCTTGATGGAATCACATGCATGTGGTCTCAAAACATAAAGAATCGACGATTTGGTAAGTAATACTTTAGATATAGCCAACAGAGGGATAAATCACGCCATGAAAGAATTGATCGAAATAGGTAAGGGGGAATTGAGCTAATGACATGTTGGTGCGATGTGATTCCCTTTGAAACAAGGATTAGAGGTGGTGCAGCTTCGGTGGCCGCCAGAGCAGCGCTGATTGATATTTGCAGAAACGTACTCTTTCAATTCCTGCAGCATGCAGCTGAGATTGGCAGCCAACTTTTGGGCAAACGATTTCTACGCCCTCGTACTGCCCGTGCATTGACGAAAAGCAGACGGGCGCGCCGAAGTCACGCAGGCGAACCAACATTGGCAGCTATCCGAACCATAGTTAAGAAAACATAGGGGCAACCAATATTTTGGTAAGGCCAGGTTTGGTAGCGATCAAAATGTATCCACAATCTTGCTCAGTGACAGATCAAGATCTAAGAGGATTATCAGTTATTTGATCAAGGGACGATGAATGATTTACTTCCTATTCATCGAATGCCTCAGGGATATGTTTCCATGTTAGAACCGAAGTAGGAAATACTCCCTCCATCCCACAATATAAGATATTTTTGCAAGCTATGTTGGCATGCAAAAACGTCTTATATTATGGGGTGGAGGGAGTAGGTGTTAAGAAAATAGCAGTGACTAAGAAAACTGGAAGCACTAGAAGACACAATCAGGTAAAAATGCAACAGAACTCACATTAATATGTGGGATATTAGGGTCTGCACCAGCCTTCAACAGGTACTTGACGCAGTCAGTTAAGCCATAACTAGTTGCTATTACCAACGGTGTTTCAGTATTAGCAGAACTTACATCCGTGCCTGCCTGTAGATATGAATCATACAAAATTAAAAGTTATGGACTATCCAATGCATGTAACAGAGTAATATTGTAAAAAGCCTATATGTATTAACATGAAGTCAAGGTGGATAGTTACCAGACCTCCACAAGCAGCTTCACACACTCCAGTGAAAGAGATTCAGGTAGTCCTGAACGAGTGGCATAAAGTGTTTCAGTCAGCGGAGTTCTTCCAGCGTCTGAGACCTTGTTCGGCTACATTTTTCATTACAGAAAATCTTTAGTGTAATATTGACTTTGATATAGGCAGATGTTAAATGCTCGAACATAATAGAGGGATATTAGAACATAGATATACGACATGTTTCTGTTCTCATGATTTATTTGTATCTGGAAGTGGGATGACAGAACTATCATAAGCCAGGCTCATGGCAGTTTGCAATGAAATATTTTATATAGATTGCTAAGCCTCAGCTGCAAAGACAGTTCTTTCAACCCAACCAGAATTTATGACATAATATAGTATGAGACAGATAACATTATGGTAATCAAATAAGAAATGCACATGTTAAATCAGGAACCTATCCTGGCTCTGCATAAGAACAAAAGGGATCCCAAGCCATACATTTGACATCAATATCTGCTATGACATCATGAAGAACACAAGACCATACAGCAAGAGAAAAATAAGCGATGGTGCACATGTTAAATCAGGAACCTATCCTGTGGAAAAGCCATTTGAGTTGCCCATTCCAGCTAACCACTCTATATATGATTCTGAACTGATGTTCTTTAGAAATGTAGAGAGACAGGTGTGGGACCGCATTCCAACATAGAAAATCTAGAATTCTTGATGAATCTGCATTCTAACAAGGTAGCATATAAATCTCAAATAAAAAAAACATGGGATTTTCTTATTACATCTGCATGGTGCTCCAATAGAACTTTCATGACACCAGTCATCCCATAGCCAGCAGCGAAATGTAGTGGTGTCAGATCATGAGGAGCTATATCAACACTAGCTCCTCTAGATAGCAACAATTTCGCTGCTTCATCGCGTCCTAGACATGGTGAGGAAAAAAACACAAGATAAAGTTACCATGAAAAATAAGCATCTGTCGCACAGAAAAAACGTATTCTTAAGCATTATCAGGAACCACCGCCTGTTTGCCTTGGCTAGAGGCCAAGCACGAATCAACTACATCATGATTTTTTTTGGTGAAACTATTTAAGAGACACAGCAATGCTACAGAACCGGAAAAACAAGCGCATGATATGTTATCGTTTTGTTATAAGGAGACAAAAACATAAAGTAAGACCAAACGTACAAGCTTTTTTAACTGGGAACCGGAAGTATTAGTTCATATGGAGGACAAACTGAACAGAAACAATGTAAATTCCACCATCTGCTAGATGGCCTCAAGCTCCAAGTTACGTGACTGCGTTCATCTAATATGCCATGAAAATGAAATAAAACAAGTAGGAATACTAGATTGCAAATTATCAGAACCGGACTGGACATAATCTCAGCTAGGGTTTGACAGGTAAGTTGCACGCTGAAACCGTTGTATAATTGGATAGCACCAAAAACCAGCATGAACAGTGCAAAAATGGTCAAACGATTTTCTTATGAAGTACACTTTTGGTAGAAGTGCAAGAATTCAGCGGCTAAAACAGAACAAAAACTAGAAGCCACAAATGATCAAATTGCATTAGTGAGGAGTTGAAGACTACGCCAGAGAACAATGAACCACTCATTCGCGCAGCAACCAACTGCAGTAAACACAAGCCTACAGACAGAAAGCTTGGTGTTTGCACAGAAGAGACCTTTTTTGGCAGCACATTGAAGAGGAACAAAGCCTAAATTGTCTTGCTTATTTGGATCAGCCCCATGGTCCAGAAGGTACCCCATAACATCTATCCTTTCATCCATGGCAGCATTAGCCAAAGCAGTCATGCCTGCCAATAGCATCAAAGACAAGAAATAAGTGCTATGACTGACATCTCTGACGACTAAATGATGAATTTACATGAAACCAGACCACTATCTCATCAATGGAATCCATGGCCACGTGTGAGTACTCATACTATATATGAATAACCAAGGTAGTGACTAATGTGAGAAGACCACAAGTCAGGGTCAACAAATACCCTGGCAAGTGGAAAGCAAGAGTTGGGTCTCGTGGTATGTTGCAGTGCTCAAAGTAGATGAAATTGATGCGATAAGTTTACCTAAATATACACAAACTGAAAGATCATGCACATGGGCAACACTGCGAAATTGAGCTAACCATAACACGAACAGAGCCAATCTTAACACAGAGAAAGTGTGTACATACCATCTTGGCTACCAGCATTGACGTCAAAGCCTAACTCTTCCACCAGGCACCTGATGACATCCAGATTCCCCAGGCGTGCCGCCATCTGAAACGGCCCCCCACCGAGGATACACACATCGGCAAGCCAGGCCTTCTCCTCCGCGTCCCTGCCGATCGCCAACTCTTCGATACAACACCAAAAACTTGGAGGTAAGAAACAAGCACAGCACTACATGGGGTCCCTTTTGGTTCATAGGATAGGAATTTTTTTCATTAGTTAGATCTAAGCTAATGTTTATTTTTTCCTTTGAAATGTGAACGATAGGAACCAATCCTACATAGAAATAGAAAAAATACATCCTTACAAACCAAAGGGCCTCTAAATGAAATTTTCTTTTAAGAACACTATCCTATAGAAACCAAAGGAGGCCGCGAAAGGAGCATACGCACGCCCAGACTCCATCCCCCCCAAACCCTAGCAAATGCGATGCCGCATTGAAGGAAGGGGGCCGTGCGCGGCCAATAAGCTTGAGAGGTTGGACCCAAAGAGAGCTCGCTCACCCCTGAGGCGGGGAAGGTCGCCCTCGGTGGCGGCGTCGAAGAAGGCCATCTGCGGGGAGTCCTTGCTTGGGAGCCCGCCGTACGGAAGACTGCATCGAAGATATCTATCCATGCCGAGGCGTAGTCTGAAGTCTGAGTTGTCCATGGCCGCCGGCGACGGGCTGTGGCGCCTTGCCGCCGCCTCGAACCACCGTCGCTCTGCCTCCGCGGCGGGAGTGAGAGTTGGGGATTTTTCTTTTTTTAGATGAGAGTTGGGGATATTTATTTATTTTAGATGAGAGTTGGGGATTTTTTTTTTAAACTAGAGTTGGGGATTTTTGGAAGAGGTAAAAGCACGGCAAGACCAGGAACTTGTCGGGCCCGTGATGTTTCAGCCCACAAACTTGCAAAACCCCACTCCGTCACCCATAAACTTGCAGCCAATGTGCAAAAAAACCCAAAGCCAATCCTGACGCGACATCTGGCGGAGGCGGGGCTGAGGCGGTCGTCGCCCGCTTTTGCAAAAATCCCCTTGGGGTTAACAGTAATAAACCCGCACCCCACATCTCTCTCGTTCCTCATTCCAGCTGCAGCCAAATCCCTAGTGTCTCTCCCTCTGTATCGCCCAACAGCAGAAGCACAGCAGGCCTAGGAACTTGTCGCTGCCCTTGCTGGCTCTCTGGCTGTGCACTCTGCTTCTGCAGCCCGACGGAGGGGAGCGGCCACCGGCGGGAAGCTGCCATTGGCCTCGAGGATGTCGCTGCGTGGCTCTTCTCGCTGACAGTAGTACGGGCGGCATAGAGACGACGCCCAAAGTTGATTCAGTACAAAAGACTAGCTGTATTGAGATAATACATTACTCTTATTCTACTGGCAAAGTCCTAGGTTCGATACCCAGGCCATTTTTTTTTGAACATACAAAGTTTCAGACTGCATATGTTGATGTACAGAATCTGTACAGAATTTCAGCATGCATTTTAGCTTATTTATTTGCATATATAGAAACATTCAGGAATACATAGGTAAAGGACTGGAAAAATTCAGAATCTGAGCACATAATTTAACCAGCAGAGAGGAGTTCAAACATCATTTAAACAACTACATCATAAAGGAGTTTGCTGTCACAAAATACAGTTCATCTTAGCAGCAGCACCATACAGTTTGTTGTAGTCCTAACATCACTAAAGAAAGCTCATTCATGAACTCTTACATTTGCTGTCACAAAATGAAGTTCATTCATGAACTCGTAGTTGTACTAATGTAATGGAACTACAAGTGCATCTCATCATTTCTGTAACCCTGTCATCTCCAAACAACATGTAATATGCACCAAATCCAAGTTCTATAGATGTGTCAACGCCTAAGTTCTTCCAGCACCTCTTCCAGTACTAGGTGCTGTAGTGCTTCCAGAATTCCTTCCCCTTCCAGCACCTCTTCCAGTTGTACCTCCTGCAGTTCTTCCAGAGTTCATTCCCCTTGCAGCTCCTCTTCCCCTAGCAGCAGCTGCAGATGTGCCTGCAATATCAGGGGCAATCAGATGAATGCAGAGATCCCCCTTCTCAATGCCACAATAGTCTGGATCGTGCTCATATTTGAGTAGCCCAAAATCAAATTCAGGAAGCACGTAATCCTACCAAAACTGAAACCCTAAATCGTCAATCACTTGTACAACCCACCGAACAAATGTAATTCGTGAGTGCGAAGAACTAAACCTAAGATGCAGATGGAGCCCCAAAGTTGACGACAGACGACTCCTTGGCCCAAGGTTATCCGGGTCGGCTGCCGCCAATGAACCAGTCGCCTCTAACGGATCCGCCGAGCAGACCAATGGATCCGCCCCCACCCATGGCTCCGCCGACTCCAACGGATCCGCCCCCACCCATGGCTCCGCGGACTCCAATGGCGCCGCCCTTCCTGCTACCACTTGCTCCAAAGCCCAGACTCGCCGTCGCCGACCTAGCTCTCGTGCTTCTGTCGTCGGGCAATGCAGAGGATTTGGCTGCAGCTGGAATGGGGAACGAGAGAGATGTGGGGTGCGGGTTTATTACTGTTAAGCCTAGGGGGTTTCTGCAAAAGCGGGCGACGACCGCCTGAGCCCCGCCTCCGCCAGATGTCACGTCAGGATTGGCTTTGGGTTTTTTTGCACATCGGCTACAAGTTTGTGGGTGGCGGAGTGGGGTTTTGCAAGTTTGTGGGCCAAAACATCACGGGCCTGACAAGTTCCTGGGTCTGCAGTGCTTTTACCTCTTTTTGGAAGCAAGAAAAAGCGCCGCTGAATATTGAAGTCGCTCCAAAGGGAATAAAATGCAGAGGGCCATTCATGCTCCCGCACAGACCTGGCCAAATGGGCTGGCCCATGCTAATCGTGCCGTGCGTGCCTGGCACGGCACCGTAGAATTTCCTAACGGACGCTCGCTGCGTCGACTTGTCGAGCGAGCGACAAGCGATCAAGATGGACCGGCCCAGTTACGAGATCCTGAACGATTTTGCGAACCTTCTAGAAGGTTCTTGAACCGGTTTTCACAGGTTTTTTCTGTTTGCTTTCTCTTTTTCTTTCTTCATTTTTCTGTTTTTTTATTTTTTTCAATTTCTTTTTCTTCTCCTTTTATTTTCTTTTCGTTCTTAAGAATTTCAAATTCTTCTAAAAATGTTTAGAAGTTCAAAAACGTTCTTGTTATTATTTTTTCTTCACAAATTCATAAAATGTTCCCATATTATTAAATATGTTTGCTTTTCAAAAAAAGTCTTTAGGTTTACAAAATGTTCATGTTTGCAAATTATGTTTGGGAGTTCCAAAAAATCTTCCCATATCAACATTTTTTCACCAAATTTAAAAAAGTCATGTTTTCAAATTTTGTTGCGATTTTCTATAAGTGTTTCCATTTAAAGAAATGTTCACAATTTTGCAAAAAATGTTCATGTTTCAATTTTTGTTCGGGAGTTTCAAAAACTGTACGCAAGTTTTAAAAACAGTTCCTGTGTTCAAGTTTTGTTCGAGAGTTTCAAAAAATGTTCCCAGTTTTCATAAATATTCGAGTATCCAAAATTTGTTTTCGAATTTGAAAAATGTTCGGGATTTCGAAAAAACTTTCACAATTTTTATTTTTGGGAGATTTTACAGAAATGTTCCTATTTCCAACGATTGTTTGCATTTTTTGAATTGTTGAGTTTTTTCAAAAAAAAACACAATTTCTAAAAGTGTTCGTTGTTTCATACAACCTTCATGTTTTTCTCCAAAATAGCGTTTTGCATACTAATTTTTAAAAACAAGAACATATTTCTTGGAACTTATGAACAAAATGAAAAAACAGGAACAATTTTTTTAACTTCAGAACATTTTTTAAAATTTCGAACAAATTTTGAATATCAGCGGGCAAAATGTTTGCGTATTTCTAAAAATGTTCATCTTTAAAAAAATCATAAATTCAAAAAAAAAAATCATGTTTCAAATTATGTTCTTAGTTTTTAAAAAACGTTCGCCTCTCAAAATATGTTCATAACTTCAAAAAATGTTCTGCTTTTCAATTTTTTGTTCCCAATTTCCATTAATGATCATAATGTTTGCTTTTTCTATATTTTGTTTAGAGTTTCGATTTTTTGTTCACAGATGCAAAAAATGTTCGTGTTTGTCAAAAAAAAAAAGAAATTGAAAAAATGTTCCCATTTTTCAAAATTTGGTTCACATATTCTTTCCATTTTGAAATTTGGTTACAAATCGACAAATTGGGCAATTTTTTCAATACTTTTTCGTGTATTTTGAAAATTGTTTGGGATTTCTTTTTTAAGTATTCAAATTTTTATTTAAATGTTTGGGAAAATAGATTTTTTTTATCTGTCGATATTCTTAGTGGTAAAATATTTCGCATTGCATACTTAACCATAGTTATGATCAGCTCTGGTGGCAAGGTACAGTCTCTATTAGTGTTGGGTCGCGAGTTCGATTCGCTGGGCAAGGGTAACTCTTTTTGCGTTGTATTTTTCCACCACTGGCTGCTCCTGCATGGGCCGGCCCGGACAAAGGCTACTCTGCGCGCTACTATGTGCGAAGCCCTGCCAATCTGCCGCAGACGGGTCATGCCGTGCCCGCCATGTGTCTCGCTCCTCGGCCCAAGCATGACATATTTAGTAAACGGGCCGGCCCATGACATGTTTAGCATTTTTGTGCGGTATGCTTTTTGGTCTGTTGGGTTGTTTCTTAGGTCTATTGGGTTGTATTTTAGTCCATAATATATTTCAGAAAATAAACAAAATGGCCGTGTCATGCCGGCTCGCCTACCCAGTCTAAGAGCATCTCTAGTAGACCCCTCAAAATTGCAACCCGTATAAGTGTTTTACGAGTCGAGAAAAACGTGTTTTCAGGGCCGATTTTTGCTGCGGCCGAACAGACCCCGTATAATCAACCCATAAAAGAGAATATTCTATGAATATATCGAACGGGTCCACAGTTGGCCTTTTTTCTGGTCGTCCTCTTCCTCAGGCCAATTTAAAATTGCGGATAGTCGGGTGAAGAAGATGCGAGGTGAACGCCGGGCAGGCGAGAAAGATGATACGTCTCCAACATATCTATAATTTTTTATTGTTTCATGCTATTATATTATCCATCTAGGATGTTTTATATGCATTTATATGCTATTTTATATGACTCTGGGACTAACCTATCAACCTAGAGCCGAGTGCCTGTTTTCTGTTTTTTCCTTGTTTTTGAGTTTTACAAAAAAGGAATATCAAATGGAGTCCAATTGACGTGCCAGTTTTTGATGATTTTTTATGGACCAAAAGAAGCGTCTGGAGTAAAATAGTTGGGCCAGAAGAGTCCCGAGCCGTCCACGAGGGTGGAGGGCGCACCCTACCCCCCTGGGCGCGCCCCCCTGCCTTGTGGATGACTCGGACCCCCTTGACGCGAGACCGACGCCAAAAATTCCTATAAATACAGAAACCCCCAGAAAGATACCTAGATTGGGAGTTCCGCCGCTGCAAACCTATGTAACCACCAAAAACCAATCAGGGCCCTGTTCCGGCACCCTGCCGGAGGGGGATCCATCACCGTTGGCCATCTTCATCATCCCGACGCTCTCCATAACGAGGAGGGAGTAGTGATACGTCTCCGTCATATCTACTTTTCCAAACACTTTTGCCCTTGTTTTGGACTCTAACTTGCATGATTTG